TGTCCTCCTCTTTGCTTGGAGTGATTCTATGCCAGTTGGAAGTCTCCTATGAGCTGGGAGCAGTGGTATGGCAGCCCAGAATCTTCCTCCACTATGAGAGTGGTGGGGCGGCAGCCTGGAAGCCTCCACTGCAATTGGAGCTGTGGTATGGAGGACAGAAGGTGTCCTCCTATTCAGTTGGAGTGGTGCTATGCCCATCTAGAAGAGTTCTGTGAGCTGGGAGTGATGGAACGGTGGCCTGCAGACTTCCTACACTATGAGAGTGGCTGGTTGGCAGCCCAGAAGCCTCCTACTCACCATGAGGTGTGGTATGGCAGACCAAAGTCATCCTCCTCTTTGCTGGGTGTGGTTCTATGTCCATCCAGAAGCCTCCTATGAGCTGGGAGCAGTGGTAGGGTGGTTTGGAAGACTCCTCCACTATGTAAGGTGCAGGGCAGGAGTCTGGAAGCCTCCTCTGCACTTGGAGCTGTGGTATGGAGGACAGAAAGCATCCTACTATTTGCTCAGAGTAGTGCTATGCCCATCCAGAAGTCTCCTATGTGCTGGGAGGGACATTATGATGGGCCAGAAACCTCCTCCACTATCAGAATGGATCGGTGGGAGCCTAGAAACCTCCTCTGAGCCGGGAGCTGTGGGACACCAGACTGAAAGCATAGTCCTCTTCACTGAGAGCACTTCTATGCCAGTTCAGAAGCCTTCTATGAGCTGCAAGCAGCAGTACGATGGCCCGGAAACATCCTCCACTATGGGAGCAGATGAAAGACATCCCAGAAGCCACTTCTGTGCTGGGAGTTGTGGTACTGCAGACCGAAAGTATCCTCCTCTTCCCTGTGAGCAGTTCTGTGCCAGTTCAGAAGCCTCCTATGAGCTGGGAGCAGTGGTACAGCAGCACAGAAACCTCCTCCATGATAGGAGTGGAGGGGTGACAGCCCAGATACCTCTTCCATGCCAGGAGCTGTGATACTGTCAACTGAAAGCATCCTCCTCTTCACTATGAGCAGTTCTATGCTGCTTTGGAAACCCCTATGCCCTGGGAGCAGTGGTACACTGGCCTGGAAGCCTCCTCCACTATTTGAGTGGCATGGCGGCACCCCAGAAACTTCCTCCACCATGGGACTGGTGATTTGGGAGCCTAGAAGCCTCCTCTGTGCTGGGAGCTGTGTAACGGTGGACTGAAAGGATCCTCCTCTTTGGTGGGAGTGGATCTATGCCAGTTTGGAAGCCTTCCATAAACTGGGAGCAGAGATATTGTGGCCCGGAAGCCTGTTACACTGTGGGAGTGGCGAGGTGTCAGCCTGGAGGACTCCTCCATGATAGGAGCTCTGGTATCGTGGAACAAAAGTGTCCTCCTCTTAACTGTGAGCAGTTCTGTGCCAGTTCGGTAACCTCCTATGAGCTGGGAGTGGCAGTACGGTGGCCTGGAAGCCTCCTCTGCTATATGAGCAGTGGGGGAACACCCCAGAAGGCTCTTCCATGCTGTGAGCTTTGGTACTGCACATGAAAAACATCCCCCTCTTCCCTGAGAGCGGTGCTATGCAGGTCCGGAAGCCTCCTATTAGCTGGGAGTGGTGGTACTATGGCCCAGAATCCTCCTCCACTAGGTGAGCAGTTGGGCCACCCCCTGGAAGCCTCCTTCATGCTGTGATCTGTGTTACAGCAGGTCAAAAGCATCCTTCTCTTCACTGGGAGCAGTTCTATGCCAGTTTGGAAGCCTCCTATGAGGTGGGAGCACTGATACGGTGGCCTGGAAAACTCCTCCACTATTGGAGCTGCAGGGCAGCAGCCCAGAAGACTCCTCCATGCTGGGGGCTGTTGTATGGCTTACCAAAACCATTCTCTTTGAATAGTGTGATTCTGTGCCAGTTCAGAAGCCTCCTATGAGCTGGGAGCAATGGTGCAGCAGCAAGGAAGCCTCCTCCACTTTGGGAGAGGCAGTGTGGCAGCCTGAAAGCCTCCATGCTGGGGGCTGTGGTATGGCAGACTGAAAGCATCCTCCTCTTCACTGGGAGCAGTTCTATGCCAGTTTGGAAACCTCTTATGAGCTGGGAGAAGTGGTATATTTCTATTATAACTTAGAAATATAATAATAATGTTTCTGTGGAGAAAAAGACTAGTCAAAATATGAAGAAAGCTGTACATACAGATAAGAAGCATATGTAGGTATAACACAAAAGTTCACCATACTCCAGGAAAATTCAGTGTACTAATTTTGTTTGTTTTTTATGTTCAGTGTACTAATTTTCTAAAAAACAAATCCATATGTAGTCTGGGAGAATATATTGTTTCAAGGATAAAAGTAGAAAACCCTGCAAGGTTCAGATTGATTTTTAAAAAAGTGTTAAACTTAGTTCTGATTCAAGCTAGCTATGGGATAATGATAAAACAAATATTCTCAAATTATAATAATATACATATACTTACATATTTAACAGATATGTAAACATCACATGTATTGAACTTGCTTAACATCCTGCTTCAGAATATCATGGTATCTAGCACAAGGCAGCTATTTGTAGCTTTGTGGGAAATTGATCCTCTCTCATGGATACCCTGGCTTTTCTTTTTTTTTTTTTTTGTACCAGGGATCAAACTTGGGACCTTGTACTTGTGA